CAAGAGTTGCATTTTATTTAACTTCATCTTTGTTCCAGCAAAAACAAAAGTGATTGTAGTTATTTAATATCCCCTGTTATTTTCTGCTAGAAGTGGCTGATTAGTAAGTGCCTAATCTAAAAAACAACATTTTTCTTGTTATTCCTCCTCCTAATCTGCTGGGTTTAGTCGCCTCTTGTTTGTGCTGTTGTCTCTGTGTGAGTGCTGTGTTTAATGGACACTGGCTCGGCAGATGCTGATCTCACTCCCCTGACAGCAAATTAAGGTCATCTAGCTGTTGTTCTCGTTTTTCGCCTTCGCCAGAGAAGCACTTAGAAGGTTAATCACGCTTTCCCAATTAATTACCCTGCAAATCTGCAAATCAAGACTCGCTCATGCTGTGGCTGGACGCAATTCTGGATTGTGCACAGTTAATGTCAAAGTGCTTTCATGCATTGTGTAATATTACTGTTAGAGTTAAGAACAATGCCTCCAATGTTTTGTTTTAGGTTATTAGTCGTATGTCCAGAGCACACAGATGTTAGAGTACTGTCGAGTGTTTCGATTATATTAGATTTCAATCTTGTTGTGTCAATGTTGTCATTTTACAATGCTGGGTCAAACGGGTAGCAACATTAGCCAATACGCCTAACACATCTCATGCAGAAATCTCATCAGTGGGGAAAAATAAAAAAATGCATAAAGATGCAGTTTATTATTATTGTTTATTTATTTATTGACATTTATTTAGAGGACTGTAAAGTTGAGACAGGAAAGTGAGGGGAGCAGAGAGACCAGTATCAGCAACACTATCGATGTAGATATTCGATATAGTGGCTAATTCGTATGAATTTGTATTTGTACAATCTCATTTGTACATATTAGTACGATTTGCTCATCAATCCTTCTCAAACGAGTGTTATGACATGTTTAATAGTCATCAGCATCTTCATTTGTTTTCATGCATTTGAACATTTATATGTGTTTATGTACGTATTTTATCATCTTAGCTTAAAATTACGAAAAACGAATTACTGCTTATGCGAGTTGATTGGAACGCAGGACAGAAATCATGTAACACGACTAATAACCTAAAACAAAACATTGGAGGCATTGTTCTTAACTCTAACAGTAATATTACACAAAGCATGAAAGACAAGTAAGCTTGACAGGCGTAGCAACAGTAACTAAGTAGGGCAAGGCTTAGCAAAGAGTCAATTGGTGCGTTTTTTCTTGGCTTTGCTTGCTTGTGCAGATATCTTTCTACTGCATTGAAGAACAGGTGACAATGGCCAGGAATGTGGGTCGGTCAGTACTATTAGCATATACAGTTGAAGTTAGCTCATTAGCATTCCTGAATTATTAGCCAATAGCCACCCTGAATATTTTTCCCCAATTTCCATTTAAAGAAAAATGCTATTTTATTTTCTTTTTCAACATATTTCTAAGCATAGTTTTTAATGACTGATTTGTATAACTGATTTTTTTTTATCTTTTCCATGATGGCTATTAATATTTTATTACATATTTTTCAAATATTAAAATATTATATAAAATATTAAACTAGTATTGAGCTTTTTAAGTGCAATTTTAAGGCAACTATTAAGCAAATCATTGTATGATGATGGTTTGTTCTGTAGATAATCCCAAAAAAATATTGCTTGTAGGGGCTAATAATATTGACTTTAAAATAGTTTAAAAAAAATAAAAACTGCTTTTATTCTTGCAGAAATATAGCAAATAAGACTTTCTCTAGAAGAAAAAACATTATCAGAAATTCTGTGAAAAATTCCTTGCTTTTTTAACATCATTTGTGAAATATTTGAAAAAAATAAATAATAAATTCACAGCAAAGCTAATTATTTTGACTTCAACTGTACCAAGACCCTAAGAAGTAACCAGTTCTTGCCTTTGAAGCTGATTGGCTGTTGTACAAATCGTACCTTAAAGTGAAATTGAGTCTATAGAGCTTGATTTGAAGTAAGCGAGTTTCCATCAGTGTTTGTGTTGCGCTGGTTTTGTAAGGTTGCGTCATAAATCAGACCGGATGACCCCTCTGTAGTGTAGATTTGCTCTGATCTCTGGCACATCTTGGTAAGCGCGTCCCGCTGTGAGTGATGCTGAGGTGGGAATTGCTTTAAGAAGCGCGGATGAAGCCTGTAATGCCTCACTTCCCAGCGGAAAACATCTGGAAACACTGCAGCCAGACACTTCTGGAAGATTTACTGATTTATAAAGAGGGAAGGTAATTAATTAATCTCATACATTTGAGAACTATATGTAACATAATGAATTAAAACTCTGTCAAAATAAAAACTTTCAAAATTTATTTTATCAGCTGTTTTGGTAGATTTCTAATTGCATGAGCAGGTAATTAAATAAATATATGTATAATAAAAAATTTTCGTAGAAATTTTTTATGATTTAAAAAAAAGAGTTTAGTGAAGTTTGTTTTAGCAGAGGGTATAGATAAAAAGTAAAAAAATATATATATATATATATAAATATGACATGTTTGAACATTTTATAAGTTTTTTTCTTGTTATTATGATTATTGTTTCATAGTATTGCAACATTTGATAAAACTGCAAGATTTCTATGGTTGATTTTAATTCTTCTGCAATTTTGGGTAATGCATTAGAATTTATCAATATTTGTTTAAATAAAATAGTTTATTGTTATTATTATCAAGCATTATGCAAATATATTTAAAAAATAATGCTATTTATTTTTTATTTATTTATATATTTTATTTTAATGTGGCATGTGTAGCATTTTAGGCTTTACTTCTTATATATTTACTTTAGTATTTGTCCATTTTTTAATATATGGATTAATACATATTTTATATATAATGTGTAATTATTATTATTAGTAGTATTGTTGTGTGTTATATACATATATGCGGTTTTTGTACTAAATATTACATTTTGTAAAACTAATGTCTGTTATGTGTGCACAAGTACTTATTATATACAAATAAATGTATGATTTATTAGTAATGAAAAATATAACATTTCTAGGTATTGTAGATAAAACACTTTGAAAAAATACATATATTTTAATTACTTTTATATAATAAAATTTTTTACTCTTGCCACAAAGATACACATGCAACATAATACTGGTCACTTATTTTATTTAATTTTATTTTGTGTTATTATATTATATTATATTATATTATATGATATTATATTATATTATATTATATTATATTATATTATATAATATTATATTATATTATATTATATATTTTTTATATTGTATTGTATGTGTCATATATTATATTACATTTATTTGATTTTATTTTAATAAATATTTTTCTATCAATGATAAATTGTACAAAAATAATATACTTATATATTAAATGCCATTAACATATTAAATATATAAACAATGTTTATACATGACTAATAATATAACATTAACTATTTAATTACTGTCAACAAATAAATCATGTTAAAAGTCTAAATATATTTGTTATAATTGTAGGAACTATTTTTTTATAATTGTAAAACATATTTTTATACACCATATTAAATATAATGCAAATACAATAATAATGATGATAATAATAATAATAATAACAATAATAACAATAATAACAATAATAACAATAATACATTTATAATATAATAATATTTTTTACTTTTGCCAAAAGTATACACAGGCAACATAATACTGGTTTTGTGGTACAGAATCACACGTTTTGTTTTGTATATTATGTTACTATTAAATCTATTATTGTAATTTATTTGATGTTTTATTTTTTTGTTTAATATTATATTACAATTAAATTTATATTTTAATTTAATTAAATTTTATCTTTTATTTTATTTTGTGTAATATTATATTACTATTAAATTTATATTTTCATTTTCATTTTGTTATGTTTTATTTTGTGTAATATTAGATTAACATTAAATGTATTATTAAATTATATTACTATTTAATTATTTTTTTATTTTATTATAGGTTTTATTTTATTTTCTGTAATATTATATTTACATTAAATTTATAATTTAATTTTATTTTATGTTTTATTTTATTTTGTGTAATATTATATTACTATTAAATTTATATTTATTTTTATTTTATTTTGTGTTTTATTTTATTTTGTGTACTATTATATTACTATTAAATGTATATTTTATTTTAATTCTGTATTATTTTACTTTGTGTCATATTATATTACTAATAACAAAATTTAATTTTATGTTTTATTTTATTTTGTGTAATATTATATTACTATTAAATTTATATTTTATTTTATGTTTTATTTTATTTTGTTTAATATTATATTACTATTTAATTTATATTTATTTTTATTTTATTTTGTGTTTTATTTCATTTTGTGTAATACTATATTACTATTAAATGTATATTTTAATTTAATTATGTATTATTTTACTTTGTGTCATATTATATTACTAATAACTATAATTTAATTTAAGTTTATGTTTTATTTTATTTTGTGTAATATTATATTACTATTACATTTATATTTTATTTTTATTTTATTTTATGTTTTATTTTATTTTGTTTAATATTATATTACTATTTAATTACAATTTTTTATTTTACTTAATTTAAATTATTTTTATTTTACAACAGCTTAAAATATGAAAGAATATAATGTTGTGGTTATTTTCTGTGAGGATGATGGTTATTATAGTGTGAGATGCAGACTCTCTCTCTCTCTCAGTGTCATGATGGGAGGAGTGAAGTGCATGTATATGTGTGTGTGTGTGTGTGTGTGTGTGAGTTTTCTAGAAGCTCCTTGTCTTTATAAAGCTGTGCCGCACAGTGGTCTTCAACCTCCCTCATCATGGCTCTGGCCTTACCCAGACTGCACAGCTCTCACAGAAGGAGCTCTCGCACCCCTGCATCCCAGTCCCGTAGGTTTGGCATGCGAGTCCTGCGGCACCGGGACATTCTGACATGCCGCTTTTTGGACTCCGTGCCGCGATCTATCTTCAGGCACTACTGGCGCAGTTCTGACCAGTCTCGTCTCTCCACAGCTCTGAGAGACCCCTGCACTGCTCTGACCCCCATCGATGGCTCATCCCGCTTGTCCCGCTGCTCTGCAGGTATGACCGTACCACACAAAGGCCCCAGCGCTCAGCCCGCCTCCTCCAGCAACCCCTCGGCCAGTCAGAACAGCAGCAGCAGCGGGTGAGTTCTGCAGAGATTCGCACTTACACTAACACACATTCACTTGTTTTGAGGGGTTTAAGTGTTTATTTGTTCTGAATTAATTATTTATGATTTAAGATTAATGTGTTTTCACCGTCTGTGTGAAATGGCATCATGATAAAAAATCACTGTAATTTAGTAACTTATTTTCTTTTTTTCTATTGTTATTATTGGCATGTTAAGGCAAGGCAAGGCAAGGCAAATGTTTTTGCTTGATTTAATATTAAATTTATTTACTTGTAAGATTTAAATATATACAGTTGAAGTCAGAATTATTAGCCCCCTTTTGATTTTATTTTGTTTTTTTAAATAGTTTTTTTAATGATTTTTAACAGAGCAAGGAAATTTTCACAGTATGTCTGATAATATTTTTTCTTCTGGAGAAAGTCTTATTTGTTTTATTTCAGCTAGAATAAAAGCAGTTATTAATTAAAAAAAAAAAAACATTTTTAGGACAAAATTATTAGCCCCTTTAAGCTAATTTTTTTTCGATAATCTACAGAACAAACCATCGTTATACAATAACTTGCCTAATTACCCAAATCTGCCTAGCTAACCTAATTAACCCACTTAAATATCACTTTAAGCTGTATAGAAGTGTCCTGAAAAATATCAAGTAAAATATTATTTACTGTCATTATGTCAAAGATAAAATAAATCTGTTATTAGAAATAAGTTTTTAAAACTATTATGTTTAGAAATGTGCTGAAACAATCTTCCCTCCATTAAACAGAAATTGGTGAAAAAAATAAACAGGGGCGCTAATAATTCTGACTTCAACTGTATGTATATATTAATATTATAATACATAATATTTTGTCTTTTAACATTATTTTTTGTTAACAGTAATTTAATAGTTAATATTAATAGTTAATATTAATGTTATATAATTAGTCATGAACAATACATTGTTTTTATTTATATATGCATATAAATATTTTTTTAATTGTTGATTTTTTTTTATTAAAAATGTTTGTTACTTTATTTATAGTCTTATAGTTTCTTCTTTCTTTATTCTACTGCAATTTATTAATGTGTATAATTTAATTGATTTATTCATATTACTAAAAACATATGTATTGATACACTGCATGCGGAAAGTATTCATAGCGCTTCACTTTTTCCACATTTTTTATGTTACAGCCTTATTCCAAAATGGATTCAATTAATTTATTTTCTCAAAATTCTACACACAATACCCCATAATCATTTTTAAAAATTGTTGCAAATTTATTACAAATAAAAAAAAAAGTTCCTAGTACATAAGTATTCACAGCCTTTGCTCAATACTTTGTTGATGCACCTTTGGCAGCAATTACAGCCACAAGTCTTTTTTGTCTGGGCTCTGGCTGGGCCACTTAAGGACATTAACTGATATTTTGGCAGTCTGCTTTGAGTCATTGTCCCGCTGGAAGATGAACCTTCATCCCAGTCTGAGGTCAAGAACACTCTGAAGCAGGTTTTCATTCAGGATTACTCTGTACATTGCTGCATTCATCTTTCCCTCTATTCTGACTAGTCTTCCAGGTCCTGCTGCTCAAATTGTATATAGAAGATGCTGCATTGGACACACAAGACTCACACTTACTTAAAGGAGAAGAACCACCAAAATGTCAATATTGCAAAAGAAACCAAACTATTAATCATATTATTGTGGAATGATTAGTTTTTCATGATTTTTGATGTTATCAGACAACAATTATTATCTGGACAGACATTAAATGAAATATGTTTAAATGTGAATCCTTCTAAAATCGTACAATTTTTATCAAAAGTAAACCTTAAAAAAACTGTTTTAGATTTTTATCCTATATATTAGCAATATTAGTAGTAGTATTTACGTTTTTTACCTTGTATCGTTTGTTGTTGTTGTTGGTGACTTTTAATTAGAATATTTTTTATAACTATAGAAAAGTTGTATTTATAAAATGTGGTAAACTTGATCAGTTTTTTTGCCATGACATAGCCAAAGAAGCTGAAATGGCAATAAACTCAAAATTCTCTCTCTCTCTCTCTTTCTCCTGCTGCTGAAAAACATCCCCACAGCATAATGCTGCCACCACCATGCTTCACTGTAGGGATGGTATTAGCCTGGGGATGAGTGGTGCCTGGTTTTCTCCAAACGTAAAGCCTGGCATTCACTCCAAAGAGTTAAATTTTACTCTCATCAAATCAGAGAATTTAGTGTCTTATGGTCTGAGAGTCCTTCAGATGCCTTTTGGCAAATTCCAGGCAGGGTGTGGCTTCCGTCTGGCCACTCTACCATACAGGCCTGATTAGTGGATTGCAGCACAGATGGTTGTCCTATTGTAAGATTCTCCTCTCTTCACAGAAGAACTCTGGAGCTCAGACAGAGTGACCATTGTGTTATTGATCCCCTCGCTGACTGAGGCCATTCTCCCCTGATCACTCAGCTAAGATGGCCGGCCTGCTCTAGGAAGAGTTCTGGTGGTTCCAAACATCTTCAACTTACGGTTGATGAAGGCCACTGTGCTCAATGGAACTTGCAGAACAGCAGATATTTTCTGTAACCTTTCCCAGCCTTGTGCCTCAAGACAATCCTGTCTAGGAGGTCTACAGACAATTCCTTTGTCTTCATGCTTGGTTTGTGCTTTGACATGCACTGTCAACCCTGGGACCTTATAAAGACAGGTGTATGCCTTTTCAAATCACGTCAAATCAACTGAATTGACCAGAGGTGAACTCCAATTAAGCTGCTGAAACATCTTAAGAATGATCAGTGGAAACAGAATGTACCTGAACTCAATTTAGAGCTTTACAGCAAAGGCTGTCAATACTTCTGTACATGTGATGTTTCAGCTTTTTTATTTTTAATAAATTTGCAACAATTTCAAAAAATCTTTTCACTTTGTCATTATAGGGTATTGTGTGAAGAATTTTGAGGAAATAAATTAATTGAATCCATTTTGGAATAAGGCTGTAACACAAATATGTGGAAAAAGTGAAGTGCTATGAATACTCTCCGGATGCACTGTATAAGATAGGTATAATAATATAAATATGATCCGTTTCAAATACAAACATTAATTTGTTGTGTTCGTATTAGTAAAAACTTGACCACGATAAAAATCTTCTTTAGTCTTCATTACCTTGTGTAATTGAATAAGCTGAGGGTTATGTGTTCAGATTTAATGCAGGTGTGTGTTCTCCTGCAGCTCCATCACAGGAGAGATGGATGAGATTGACGCGTTCAGAGTGAGACGTCCTGCTGATGACACCGTCTCTCTGGCCTCCACAGTGCCCGAATCACTCATCGTCGAAGGTGAGGCTTCAAAACAGGTAAAGTGTGGTTTACAATGGGTTTTTAATAAAGCCCTGAGCAACGTTTTGCATTTTTTGTGAGCAGATGCACATTACGCCACAGTGCGGAGTGAACTGGAAGCCCTCGCACAAGACTTCGAGGTGGAGTCCTGGAGTTTGGCTGTGGATCAGCACTTCTCAAAAACACATTCAAAGGAAGCCATCAAGAGACAGGACGTTATATATGGTAAGTATTTGTTCTTTTCCATTGACAGTGGTGGACGAAGTAAACACAAAGCAAACAATTAACTTAAAGTACAGCTGTTTTAAGCAGGGAAGGGAATCTATTAAGCAGGATTACCACTGTGTGGCAGCAGTGTGTGAATACAGCCAGCCTCTAATAAGTAAAACAAATAAATTCTATTTTTTACTATCACACTTTATAAAAGGTCTGCAGAAAACACTTTGAGTGACATTTTCCCTTTGTACGTGTCATCAGAGGGGAAAAGCCCCGCCCATTAGTGACATTATAACAACCCTAAGTGAGAAACAGACGTCTGCCATTAGAGTTTTCACCTGCTGAAGATAAAGACAGAGACTAAGAGGATTTTAAATGTGTAAAGATTCACAAATAAACACCGTGGATATTCTGAGGCACTTCTTTTGACATTTTCAGTTTCTCATACAAATACTGTTAGTCCTGTAGTTAGTCCTTTTAGCTCAGCTTTTAAAAAGAGCACAGTATCATTTGAATTTAAAGCAAAAGTCACCAAAAACAGTTTGGATCAAAGCCTATAAGCCATAGCTCGCAAACCCAATTCCTGGAGGGCCACAGCTCTGCACTGTTTTGCTCCAATCCTACTCAAACACCGCTGATTCAACTAATGTATAGGGTTGGGTACCGATACCCAGTGCCATTATATCTCTGGTATGTACTGGACCGACTCAGCATATGAATTTCGGTGTCTAATTTCAGTGCCACTGGTGCTGTGACAAGGATGTAAGAAGCATCAAGGGGTGCATCAAAGGCACACATAGGTACGCTATAAACATTTATTTCTTAACATCTTTAAGGAATACGGACAGTTCATGTCAGACATACGCAGTACAGTGCATTCGGTGAGCGAGGGCGACTCTCTTCAGATCAACAGCATGATCGCGTTCATCAAATCTGCTTAAACTAAGCATTAAAGTGCTAAAGCATATTATACATGCAAGGATTCTGACACCGCAACATGAAGCAGACGCTTTACGAAAGTAAATGGGAAACACGTCAAACTCAATGACACATTTGAGGGCTTACAGAATCCAATTAAGGCAGAGGAATGCACTGTCTCTGAAAGCTTGCGACATCATCTGGCCCATTCAATGAGTACATGGACACCAATGCTCCAATTTCAATATGTTTAAGACAATACTCTGATTAAGAGTCTAGACTACCATGTAAACGGTGATTTTTGATTATCCCTACGGACCACAGACACATGCGTCACGAAAAGCAGAGTTTTTTTTCTTTCCGTTCAAGGTGCGGTATCATGTTCCATTAAAAGAGCACTCTTCCACCAGTCCTTACTTATTTTTCACATCAAATACCTCAGTTTGTCATGGGGGCATGAATGAAATGTTCCTGAATGAAAGTGAAACTGCAGTTAAAGTCGAAAAATGAAACACCTGAAATTACATAAAACTCTGGAGGAACTATGGATAGCGTCGTGACACAGTGATGTTAATCGATCTATCCACTATAAGATATAAGACAGGATCATGAAAGGAACATTCAGAAAGCAACTCTTGTAAACACCTTAATCAGATTATTGTCTTATTCAGATTTAGGCAAATCATTAGATTACTGATAACCTTGTAAACATAGTAACAAGCCCCAAACCCTCGACAAAAGGAGTTCAGTATTTTGATCACAGCATTTCCACAGGTTAGCTTATGTAAGCTAATGTAATTTCATAATGCAAATCTTAAATTCATGCTAACCAACAAACGGTCAAAGGAAAAATATTAATTTAATACAAATATATAAAATATAACTTGATGTTTACTTTAAAATTAAATTATATTGTTCTGTTAAAATTATTTTTAAAAAGAGTTTGTCAAATAAAAGTTTTTTCTAGGGTCATTCACCACAATTTTGTGACTCAAAAGTATCGGTTCAGGCACAGTTTTGGCACCGGTACCATTTTAAAAGTATCGATTTTGCACCGGTATCGAAATAACCCCAAACGATACCCAACCCTATCAATGAAGGTGTTCATGACTATGTTGAACACCTTGATTATTTGGATCAGCATTGTTTTATTAGCCATGGAGCAAAGTGCAGAGCTGCGGTCCTCCAGGAATTGAGTTTGAGACCTATGTTATAAGGGATGCTTTAAAGCGTTATAAAACATTATTTGTGGGGTATTTTGAGCTGAAGCTTCACAGACACACTCTAGAGACTTCAGAGACTTATTTTACGTCTTGAAAAAGTGGCATAATTGGTCCCCTTTAAATCATGTGTGAAATCAAATGTACAATGTTTATTTTGCTAGTGCACATTGCTGTTTTTAGATGAACAATTAATCCGTGGAAGTTAATACACTGAACAAAATAGAGAAGGGCCCACGCTTTCTCCTGCCGTCATTTACAATTCACCCTACACTCTCCTGTCAAGTTACTTGCAATTGTCACAAATAAACGGGAAGTTCATTTGCCTTGCCAGTGACGGCATTGCCTAATACACCCCCTGAAAACTGGTTTGTGTATTTATATGATTATAATGCTTTAATATAAATTTACCTAAACAGGCTAAAGGACACACATATGGACTTGCAGCAATGATTCTTGAATGACTTGGGAAACTATTCTTTATTCAGCAGGTCCCAGAACAATTTCAAATAAGAATGCAGATGTCGATGCAAGTGATGTGGCAGGGGAGTGCAGAGCACGGCTGCATAAAAATCCATAACCAAAATAATCCCTTAGCTTAAAGGTTAAGGGTACCCTTAGTAAAAGTTGGGTTGCAAGAACAACAAAAAACAAAAGCAAAAAGATCAACTTAAGGACTGTAAGACTGCCATGAAGTATTCCCCTCAGTCCTTAGTAACAATATCTTCTTAAAACATTTAGCGACCTAATAAGCTCCCTTAAATGAACAATTGACACTCGAAAATTCAAGCATTCTCACTCAAATAAAAATGTTCTAGATAAAAGACTCCCACAACTATAGAATAATTTATAAAACCATTTAATAAATAAACTTATATAACATTATACGGATCTGTGCAGGAGTACATCCATCTGAAATCATAGTTACAGTGCAGCTTCAAAAGTCTCTTCATGATCCCAACCCAGTTTTATAGGTCCAAACATAATGTCGAGATCGACTCAATAAGGGAATGTCTCGACTTGCTAAATGGGAAAAAAATGGCTCAGATGATGTGTACTGCAGAGCTGTTGCAAGGCCAGCATCGTGGTTCGTTACAATCTGTTTACATAGCTATAGCGACTGCGGCGGCCGTCGCCATATGTTGCCAGAAACTACAGTGAAACGCTTAGAAAGAAGGCACTGATGAGGGAAAGACAGATGGGGTGAAAGATAAGAAATTTGTTGCAACGCTCTTAATGAAATCCCTTACCTCAGGGATTTTCCCCCCTCAGGGACACTTCGAAGTTAAATTACTTAAGGACTTTCATGCAAGCGTGCACAGGTGTCGATTGTAAATGACGGCACTTGCAGAGGAAGCGCGGTTGCCTGAGTGCAAGTCCGAGAGTGCAAGCCTGAAAGTGCATGTGCAAGTCTGCAGCCAGACCTTATTGAAAAAATAAGTTTGTTTTGGTAATCTCCAATCAAAGTCTACGCATTTGCTTCTGCATTTGGAATGGTGGTTCTTCTCTAATGACTACAGTTTGCTACAGGTTTATGATGCGTAAAATATTTAAAATATTTAGTTTCAATTTGAACAACATACTGAAATAAATCTCAGCAACTTGAAGTTCACACGCAAATTAATAAAATATTACTCCAGTAAAAAGTTCTCTCTGTTTCAAACTTACTCAAGTTAATTTAATAGTTAGGTGTCACGGTGGCACAGTGGGTAGCACAATCTCCTCACAGGCATTTCTGTGTGGAGTTTGCATGTTCTCACCGTGTTCGCGTGGGTTTCCTCCGGATGCTCTGGTTTCCCCCAGAGTCCAAACACATGCAGTACAGGTGAACTGGCCAGGCTAAATTGTCTGTAGTGAATGCGTGTGCAGTGGTGTTTCCCAGTTATGGATTGCAGCTGGAAGGGCATCCCCTACGTAAAACATATGCTGGATAACTTGGCGGTTCATTCCGCTGTGGCGACCCTAGATGAATGAAGGGGCTAAGCCAAAAAGAAAATAAAAGAATGACTTTAATAGTTACCCAAAAATGAAAATGACCCCATACAAAATTCAAAAATTTGGCTTTAGGGCAAGTTTTTCTGTTTTCGTCTCTTATTGTCATGTTTGGGCACACTAATGGTCAAAATACAGTTGTTGGACTTGACCAAAAGACACCAGCAGGTGTGTGTTCACTGCTCTGTGTGTGCACTTGAAAGGGTTAACTGCAGAGCACACATTCCGAGTATGGGTTACCATTCTTGGCCATGTCAAAACTTTCACTTTCAATGGAAGTTGCATTTTTAGATGCATAGCCAGGCGCTGAGTGTGTGTTTTAAGATCAGTACTGAACGCTCTGCATTTTTTAACACTTTGACAGTAATGCAGTTGTTTTTAGTTGGAGGCAGTTGTTTTTAGAACAGCGCTCATGTTTCTACAGCACAAAATCACCTCAGTGGACACTTGCCATTAGTAACTTTTTATGTTGTCAGTCACAGAGCACTTAAGCTGAGAGGATGTCCTCTTTTAACTCATTTTGAATCAATTCAATGGATCAATTGCCCTGAACCAATCATCTAAATCAGTGAGTTGAACTGGAGAGCAGATGCATTCGAATCTGTCCAATTCACAAACTAACTGTTTGATCTGACTTGACCCCATTTAACCTAGTGAGGTAAAAATACTCACTGTCCACGACTCTACATTGTCCACTTTTGATGTGATTGTGAAAAATGAATCCTCATGGCTAATGTGAACATGTGTTGTGTCCTCCAGAGCTCATCCAGACAGAGATCCACCATGTGCGGACGCTGAAGATCATGCTCCGCGTTTACGCTCGAGAGCTGCGGGAGGCCTTACAGCTGGACGAACGCAGGCTGGACTGTCTGTTTCCCCGACTGGACAGCCTGCTGGAGCTGCACAACCACTTCCTGTCCCGTCTTAGAGAGCGCCGTGTAGAGTCTCTACAGCCAGGCAGCGAACGCAACTACGCCATCAATAAACTCTCAGATATTCTTATATCCCAGGTACATCACCTTAATTAAGTGTTTCACTTTCAAACAGTTCTGTCATTTATTTATTGCTTTATTTCATGTTTTGCTCTGTGCTTCATGCTTTTGGTCTTTTGTTTCCTGTTTCAAACACTTTCACCTCATGCTTCCTAATGCTCTCATACTTCCTGCACTACACTTCCTGCTTCCTACTTCTTTTTGTCAATTTCCAAGTTTGTGTCTCATCACAAATGCCGTTGTCATGCTTTTATTCAACACTTCATTTACCACATTTCCTGCTATCATACTTTTGCTTTAAACTATATGCTTTACATTTCCTGTCCTGCACTTCCACTTGTTGTCTCTCTTTCTACCGTAACCTTCCTGCTTCCCACATGCTGTGGTCACTTTTTTATCCTGTGTTTCCTGCTATTGTTGTGCTTGCTGCTTCACACCACCTGCCCTGCTTCATATTTTGTTTGACCCTTTTACTGTAAACCTTTCATTTGACATTTCTTGTCATATGCTTCCTGATTTGAACATCCCGTTGTAACAATTTCTGCCTAACGCTTACAATAGCACATGCTTTTTACTGGTTCTTTCAGATTCACATTTCCCGCCTTAAGCTTCCTGCATCAAATGTTCTATTGTAGCAATATCTGCCCTAAGCTATATTCTTTACACTACCTTCTCTATATTTACTCAGCGATGTGATACGGAATTTCGTATTTCCAAAATCAATGTTGTGACCCCTGTAATTTGATTATGAAATTTTTAGGTTATGAAATCGCAGCTGTGTAAAAACTTTTTCACAACCATGCACTCTAAAGCCGCAGGATGCACATTTGTTATTATCCTCTGCAAGTCATCTGTTTTTATGTCTTCACACATTCAGTGCTACAGCCTAACACCTGTTCAGATTGTTGACTGACTAGTAGTTTATTTTTCTCGTGGAATAAAGAGTCGATTTAATTTCAGGAAAACTTATTTTCTGTGGACACAAGAGAATTAACCAAAATGTTGGCGCCTTCTAGCGGCGGTGTGTGGATCCGACATTGAGGTGCAAAGTACTGAATAAACCTTATACATAATCCTTAGGTGACTACATTTACATTTACATTTAGTCATTTAGCAGACGCTTTTATCCAAAGCGACTTACAAATGAGGACAAGGAAGCAATTTACACAACTAAGAGCAACAATGAATAAGTACTAAAGGCAAGTTTCAGGTCTGTAAAGTCTAAGAAGGGAAGTGTTAGTAGTTTTTTTTTTTTTTTTTTTTTTTGTACAGTTAGTGTGATAATCAAAGAGGCAATTGCAGATTAGGGAGTGAAGTGGAGACTATTGAACTGCTAATCGTTAAAACTGATAAAACAAAAAAAATAGTTACAAAAAAAGTTGCGTGGCCAATATCAAATATTTATGTATATATATATATATATATATATATATATATATATATATATATATATATATTTTTTTTTTTTTACAATTATCATTTCTATTAATATTTATTATTTAAAAAACACACACTTTTTTGAGGACGGGGGTCTCATCTTCTTCTTTTTGTTCTCAGCTGATCACATTTCTGTCTGATTTATCACTTCTTTGGTCAGTGATCTTGTTTTCTTGTGCTTTACTTTTCCCACCCTACACTTCAGCTTTACACATTCAGCTTCACTGTTCATGTCTTCCTCTTCCTACTTAAAACATCCTATCTCACATTTCTTGTGGTAGCACATCAGTCTAAATTGAATTGAAATCACATCCTTTCAAACAAAATCTGCCAAAAACAAAATATGTTTTGAGTTCATTTCAGCCGTTTGAAACCGCTCACCAAATCAAACATATTAGGGGGATTTTGTTTGGTCTCATAAACACCTTTCAGCTACCATTGGTCCATGACAATTATTCAATTAATGGGTGTTTTCTGGAACGCCACTGTTGCCGCATTTAAGGTGTGGTGAAAAGTTCATATCTCATAGGAAAGACAGGAGAACAACATTCAAATCAACAACATCAAATTAGCCACACGAATAGACTGGAGAGTCAAGTTGCAGTGCTGGTACAGATGTATCCGCACCTGTACGATCACTCGTTAATGAAAATATAGTTCTTTAGATGTTAATGTCAGTATTTTCATCTTTGAAGATACTTATAAGTTAGTGTGGGACAAAAAAGTGACAACTCACATTTAGAAAAAATACAACTGATATAAGCATGTCAAGCTTTGTCACTTCCGCCTACATGGATCAACTTTTTTTCACATTACCTCGTACTTCAGTTTCTCTTCAAATTATGACCAATCAAATGCTCTCCAGGTCCGTGTATCATCCGTTCATTTGATTATTCCTTTTATTACGGAAAACGAAACATCAGAAAAACGATGAATATTTCGTTTTTCTGTTTATTCTGTAGGCAGAAAAAACGGAAACTCATCTGTTATTCTGCTTATTAACTTAAAACGAAATATTAAAACAAACACAAAACCAAAACGAAATAATGAGTCAAAATATGGTCCGTGTGTACGTTTTGTTCATTTGTTTCCCATTTTCAAACGGAATAAAGGAAATGGAGAAAACGGCCGTTTTTCCGTTTTTCTTTTGCTCACGAGAAAACGAAAAAACGAGATTTTGGCTGGATTTTCGTTTTTTGGTTTAGGGTAGGAAAACGGATAAACGACTTTAAAATTCATTTTACACATGTAGGCGGTGCTGAAACGCCCACTTTCCTCTAATTGGTTAACCAAATCTGCGCTCGTGACGTCACCCTCAAAATAAAAGCCTTACACGCAGGCTTTTAATTATTATTATTTAATTATATATATAAACAAAGTTTACATATTCTATCATTTGAACCACACACAGTTAGCAGGCTTACATTCATTGCGTATGTATAAATTAAATAAAAACGTAAATCAGCAGTATTTTTAGACATTTGTCATTAAAATAAGGTCATAGTTCACTGCCAAACTTCTTGCTGCTGTGCACCTGATGCTGAGCAAAGAAAGCCATTTCCGAGCAGCACCTGGTTTGCATGACTGTTTCAGAGCAAGGGCTTTATAATAATAATAATAATAATAATAATAATAATGATAATTATTATTATTATTATTATTATTATTATTATCAGTTACTAGTGTTTTTATTGTTTGGTGTGTTTTTTTTCTTCTTTTTAATAGTTGTTACCAGAACCAGAATAAGAACACTTTGGGCCCTGCTATAAAAACAAAGGGTACCATTTGTTTTCATTTATTTCTTCCTATTTTAATTATATATTGTAATTATTTATTTGATAATTAATACTATTTTATTGCAACGCCAAAGTAGGCCTGTCTTATTTTTTTTTTTTTAATTAAATTTGCTGTTATTGTAGGCTAGATGGCAGGCTTTAAATATTTTAAATAACATTTACTCATAACCTTACTAATTCGAGAGCCGAACCTAAAAAAGTTTAAGTGCAATAAGCCTGTACAATAAAGGGAGCCGCAATGCATATTTCTAGCGCATTCTTTCACTCAACAATTATTGCTGAATTAATGAAATAAATTTCAAATTAACCAATTAAACACATTTTAGTTGATAAAAAAATTGTGTCTAGTAGTTCCGACAAACAGATGAGCTCGCTGCATGTGCGTTGCGCTACTAATTTGACATTTGCTCTTCTTGAGAAAGTGCTACAGCGGGCCCTGCTATTTCACATATAAGCTTAGTGATACGTATTTTAAATTAGTATTGCACATTATTCATTCATTTTCTTGTCGGCTTGGTCCCTTTATTAATCTGGGGTCGCCACAGCGGAATGAACCGCCAACTTATTTAGCAAGTTTTTATGCAGCGGATGCCCTTCCAGCCACAACCCATCTCTGGGAAACATCCACACATACACACACACTTATACAGTATGGACAATTTAGCCTACCCAATTCACCTGTACCGCATGTCTTTTTACTGTGGGGAAAACCGGAGCACCCGGAGGAAACCCACGCGAACGCACTACACTACTGAATTAGACACACAATCTCAAAAAAAAAACTTGATGCTTATTTACATTATCTAAAGTCATTTCTGAGGTAGGATCTGTTGTTGTATTATATATTTTCGTTTTAATATGCAAATAATTTTCTTTAATTTGTAATAGGTCCCTCATTGCATAAAATAACCAGCCTTTGTATTCAATATGTTTATAAATTGTCCATCCAGTTTGACGCAAGCTAAACAACATTTTGGCCTGTTTTGCTTATTAAATGAGTGATTTTCACGGAGAAACAAATCATCCATCCACACAGTTTTGTATAGGACCTGTGTGAACAAAAATGTACACTTCATCATAGCCTATAGGAAAATGTATCTGTTTAGAACCAATTTTGTGTTGTATAATTAAAAATATTAAAAATACAATAAAAATAAAAAGAAGGAATAACATTTGAAGTGCAATGCTTCAAAGATCCAATACGCTGCATGCAGAGCCAAAACGAAAACTGGTTTGTTTGTTTAATAAAATAATATTATGAAATTAAAGTGAAATAGTTCCATAACCTGTATTATAACTGTAGTCATGTAGAATGTGCCAGAACCAAATGAGAATATTTACAGATTACCTCGGAATGAGACCTCGGTCTGTGAAGGATGCAGAACACAGAAACTCGCTGAGAATGGAGATGCATGTTAGATGTTTTATATCCCATTAGATATTGTAAATAAACAACTAGTTTTTATAGAGATTGTGTCATGTCTTTTCTTTGACGCACGCGGTGAACAGCCTGTAGCCTAAATAATAGTTTAGATTTTATAACATATAATGTTCCATTACTTTAAATGTATAATGTTTTTTAATATTTATGGATTATATAAAATATATAGTTTATATAAATGCGCTCTGATCATTCAAGGATCATAATGCGTTGCATATTCTTCTTATTCTTCATTAGGCTTGATCCGTAAATTGTGTATTTTATAAACTGATCGTTTATAAGGACTAAGCTATTAATAACTGTAATTCCTCGAATGGAAAAGTCTTGATTAAAGAAAAAGAGAACTTAATTCGACATATGCATATAGTGCGCTTATTTCTGCGCGCATCGCGCGCTTTACCGAATTACCTTTTTTATTTTTTATGCATTATAAATGCATCTGGCAGCACCGAAAAGAGCAAATGCCAAGTTATTAGCGCAGCGCACAGACAGCTAGCTCGTCTAGTCTGAACCAGGGGTTTTCAAACTATTCATTGCACACCCATTGCATTTTATTTAGGATAAACCACTTATTTAAAATTAATTAATTAAAAGGTGCGTACTCTCCAATACACCACTGTAGTGTCATAATATTTAATAATTATTATTAAGATAGACACCTGACCTCCATTTAATAAACAATTTATTTGCCATCCTCTGTTAATTTGAAGTTTAAAGTTTAAATCATTTATGTTAAACTTAAATTATTTAAAAACTTAAAAAGACTTAAATTTAGTCATTTAAGACATTTTAGGTCATAAGTTTACATACATTGACCGTTGCATTTAGTAGGCCTATTCTGGTCTAAATAAGCTTTTTGCATCTTTGGTGTTTACACACACAAATTAAGCAGTTTATACGTACATTTAATGTTACTTTGAATTACTTTTGATGCAATAAATAATCCTAAATAGTTGAAAGTGTTAACATATTCTTGAAATGTAGTTATTTTATAACTATGAAATTTATTACTAAACAAAGTGAATCATTATGAATTTGCCAAGAAATAATCCACTTTACCACCGTACAGCCATGCCCCACACTCACTAGAACGGTAGAACCTGGACTGTATGATATGTTCTGTATGTAAAATAGAGAAAATAAGCAAGATGCGCAGTCTCATGCAGCCTTAGTGAAATATAGCGCGTCACAGCAATGAACTAAAAATAAAACCACCCTTGAAATGCTGGCGATCTTAATTTTTTCAGCCTACACTGACTGAGAATAATGTTGCACTATTTTATTAACAAATAATTAGAATGTTTTTTTTCCCTTCAACACATTCATCATTACTTTTGCCTGTGCAAGTTTTTTGCGCGCGCTTGAGCGCGAAGGCATCTATTTTCAGGTGCAAGATGCCACTTTGGGTGGCACCAGCACACTCTGCCACACCTGTGGCTATGTTCCTGCTACAATAATAATAACAACAACAACGACAAAATAATAACAAAAAATAATAATAATAAGACAGGCCTACTTTAACGTTGCAATAAAAAAGTATTAATTATCAAATAAATATTTACAATAGGCTAAAGGCATATATTAAATTAAAATAGGAGAAAATCCAATAGAAACAAATGGTACCATTTATTATAGCCCCATGCAGGGTCCATTGTGTTCTTACAACCATTAAATAACTAAGTAAATAATAATAATAACAATACTAATAATAATAGGCCTAATAATAATAATAATAATAATAATAATAAATTATTATTTTATACAGAGTAGGCTATTATTTAGGCCTACAATAGCTCTGAAACAATCATGTAAACCAGGTGCTGCTCGGAAATGGCTTTCTTTGCTCAGCATCAGGTGCACAGCAGCAAGAAGCTTGGCAGTGAACTATGACCTTATTTTAATGACAAATGTCTAAAAATACTGCTGATTTACGTTTTTATTTAATTTATACATACGTAATGAATGTAAGCCTGCTAACTGTGTGTGGTTCAAATGATAGAATATGTAAACTTTGTTTATATATATAATTAAATAATAATAATTAAAAGCCTGCGTGTAAGGCTTTTATTTTGAGGGTGACGTCACGAGCGCAGATTTGGTTAACCAATTAGAGGAAAGTGGGCGTTTCAGCACCGCCTACATGTGTAAAATGAATTTTAAAGTCGTTTATCCGTTTTCCTACCCTAAACCAAAAAACGAAAATCCAGCCAAAATCTCGTTTTTTCGTTTTCTCGTGAGCAAAAGAAAAACGGAAAAACGGCCGTTTTCTCCATTTCCTTTATTCCGTTTGAAAATGGGAAACAAATGAACAAAACGTACACACGGACCATATTTTGACTCATTATTTCGTTTTGGTTTTGTGTTTGTTTTAATATTTCGTTTTAAGTTAATAAGCAGAATAACAGATGAGTTTCCGTTTTTTCTGCCTACAGAATAAACAGAAAAACGAAATATTCATCGTTTTTCTGATGTTTCGTTTTCCGTAATAAAAGGAATAATCAAATGAACGGATGATACACGGACCTCTCCAGTATCTGACAAGATGCATTTTTTAAGTGCTTTTCATTTGCTTTTCATTTGATTTACTTGAGCTCAACCACTCCCACTGGCAGAGCGGTGATAAAACAAAATACTATTGGCTGTTTTTTTTTAAACGAGAGGAGCTACTCTGTCCAACCCTCTCTTTGTTTTTCAGTTGAGGGGGGTTAAACACTGGGTGAGAAGTTCACCTCATTGTGTCTTTTCATAATTCGGTATTAGTTTGCAGCAAATAGAAACCAATGTAAAGATGTGGTGCGATGTGGTGATGCTTCTAATCTGGTTTGCAACAAACTGTAGAAGGCTGTTTTCCAGATGTTTACAACAAATACAGTTCTTTCTTATGCTGGATTTACACCGTTTCATTTGCTCTAGATTTCTCGCGGGATGTTTTCTTCTAATGTGAAACTTGCATAGTAAATGCGAATAGATTCTGATCTTTTGCGGCAAACACATCGCTCATTCAATGTCATTCGCACCAAGTAGCGATACTTCGCCACTATTTACATGTTCACATTTATTTTGTATATAATTTACTCGTACAAATACTTAATTCTGTGTTAGTTTTGAATTCATCTTTTCAATTCAATTCATCTTTATTTCTATTTCACCTTTACAATGTGGATTGTGTCAAAGCAGCTTAACTTAGAAGTTCAAGTAGATTGAAACTGTCAGTCCAGTTTTTTTAGAGTTGAAGTTCAGTTTAGTTTAGTTCAGTTTGGATTAAGTTTCACTGCTGATAGTCCAAATCCATTGATGTGCAGCTCCACAAGTTCCAAAACCAAGCAAGCCAGTGGCGAAGAACAAACTTTACCAATTGACGAAAGTAAGGGAAAAAAACTTGAGACAAATCAGGCTCAGCTGTTGGGCATGACCATTGAATCCAGCACCAGTCGCCATTGTTGTGTTTAGGGTGTACATGCTAGCCGCATAGGAGTGTTCTAAAACAGTATTCACTTTACTTAGCCTTTTTAATCTTCTCTTTACCCCCAAACAAAGTACGAGAAAGAATATTGTTTAGTCTAAAAATGAGGAAAGTGTTGGGAAGGAAATGTGAAAACAGGAATTGTGCTAATATTGGGAAAGAAGTGAGAAGAAGGAAGACATTTTCTTTATGTGTCTGGTTTTAGTTTTCGGGAGAGCTTGGAGATCGCATGAAGGAAAGCTATGGGGATTTCTGCAGTCGACACACTGAAGCGGTCAACCACTACAAAGAGCAGCTGCAGAGCAACAAGAAGTTCCAGAACCTGATGAGAGTATGTTCAGATCTTCTCTGTGGTACTAGTATTTGCTAAACTGTCCTCCCAATGTTTTGAATCATCATCTCCCGTTCTTATGTTTCAGAAATTAAGTAATCTGTCAATAGTGCGACGGTTAGGCGTCCCAGAGTGCATCTTGTTAGTGACACAGAGAATAACCAAGTATCCTGTGCTTCTGGAGCGCATCCTGCACAACACTGAAGGTTGGTTTTTTGAAATGTAATTGAAACTATCCAGTTATGGTAGATTTGTAACGTTTTGAAAACTTTCTTTTTCATTTTAGCTGGAACAGAAGAGCATGAAGGATTGGCACAAGCTCTGGGTTTAATCAAAGACGTCATTGTTCAGGTGGATGCACAGGTCAGTCTCTACGAGAAGGAAGCGCGGCTCAGGGAAATCGCCTCTAAGATGGAGCCCAAATCCCTTGGGAAAATTAAAGACGGACGCGTCTTCCGTAAGGAGGACCTCTCTCAGGGCCGCCGGAAGCTCTTGTTTGAGGGCACAGTCAACTGGAAAGCTGCTTCTGGTCGACTTAAAGGTATTGTGCGAAGCACAGTTAGCAAGCATTTGTTTGCAGTTTCAGTAATGACATGGTGATGATGATTTGGACAAAAGCGCTAAGCAATGGAGTCTTAACATTTCAGTGGGTTTTGTATGCTCTTGCAGAAATAATGCTTTCCTCTAGAACAGTGGTCTCAAATTCAATTCCTGGAGGGCTTCAGCTCTGCATAGCTTAGCTCCAACCATCTCAAACTCGCACCTGCTTAATTGTGTCTAGTAGTCTTGAACAACTTGATTAGTTGGATCAGCAGTGTTTGACAAAGGTTGGAGCAAAACTGTGCTGAGCTGCGGCCCTTCAGGAATTTAGTTTGGGACCTATGCTCTTGAACAGGGGTCACCAATCTTGGTCCTGGAGGTCCGGTGTCCCTGCAGGGTTTAGCTCCAACTTTTCCCAACACACCTGCCTGAATGTTTCTAGTATAGTAAGACACTGGCTGTTTCTCAATTCCAAGAAAGCAGAGAACGGACTTGCGTTCTTGTGGAGACCAGTCTTGCCAGGTGTCCTCGGAAGAACGAACTCGGGATGCCACGAGAACAGAGAACGCGTCCTGTGAGAAATGATATGCTGCGTTCTTCCTGATGGTCACATGACCTTCACGTGTTTTTAATAGAATATTATTTAAACATTACAGCATTCATACAGCGATTTATTGTTTTTCTTCTTTTCAAAATCTGTACTTTGCATTAAAACATTATAAATATACGTTGCACAATATAAATAAAACAGATTTTAATACGAATTTCAGCAAACAAACACCCTTAATGTGTTTATTCCTTTATTAAGATGTTCATGGTTTCATTTAGGGAAACTACTCAGGGTAAATAAATGGTATCTCTGAACTTTAATAATAAATCTAAATAAAATGCTGCGCTTTCCACCGCCTGTCGCAATGACTTCTGGGACTTCCAGAGCGTGTTCGGTGCTCAAGTCTGCATCGGTGCATCCTCGATATCAAGATCACATCCTCCGTATTTGCGGTCTTGAGTATTGCAACTGAATTTAGGCAGTTGATGATGACGAGAACACAAGGACGCAAGACCGCTGAAGAACGCATATTGAGAAACAGCCCTTGATTAGCTTATTCAGGTGTGTTTGATTAGGGTTGGAGCTAAAATCTGCAGGACACTGGCCCCCTTAGGAACAAGTTTGGTGACCACTGCCCTAGAAACTTTTAATAGAGCAAAAATGAAGAAAAATAGTATTTTAGTGTTGTTTACAAGCAAGGATAATAAAGTTACTTTGGGCAACACAATAGTTTTGTAAATAATGCAGATGATTCGTTATGGAACACAAAAACCCTGAAAATCCTTGCTAAAAATCTTGTGATGGAATTAGGTAGTGGAAAGGTTTTTTTTTTTCAGATAAAATGCAATATTTCTCACAAAAAGAAAATACTCTTTTTTTAATAAATGAATGCAAATATATATATTTTTAAAAAATTCTTTTGTGTAATGAAATCTCACAAAAAAATTAGTTTGTTATCAGGATAACTAAACACTTTTTGAGGCAACACTAGGCTTCTAAAAGAATAATGCTGTACAAATTTATCATCTGCTGAGTTTCTATAGGTGAGAAAATACTTGGAATGAGAATTCAAAGTGTCTTTTGAAAAATTTCAGTTTTGCAAGCGAATGCATTTTTTAAATTACTGCAATAATTAAGCAAATAATGCATCCTTTGAAAACAAAATTTTTAAATATTTGTAATAAATATTTGTTAAAAATTGTGTTAACTTGCAAAAGTATAGTTTCTACAAAAAAACTTGTGCGTTCTCTCAGTGTAAGTGTTGCATTATCTTTAGAAACTTTGCAATATTTTCTCTGTGAATGCAATAAAAAGTCTGAATGCTGAATAAAAAAATATATTGGGGGAAACAACTAATTTGTGGCAGAAGTCAACAATTCATGGTGAGGAATAATTTTGAGATAAAAGGTGAAATTTCTTGGCGCAATGTAATACTTTTGCAAAAGAATGCAAATAGTCTTTGTAAAATAATACATTTAATGGTAAATGTAAAAGCAGAAAACTTATTTTTCCTTCCAACTTTTGTCTTCTTAGGGGGCTTCATACACAAGTTTGTTTGGATTAAAGTTGTTTATTCTTTGTTTGCGTTGCAGATATTCTAGCTCTGCTTCTTACTGATGTTCTTGTTTTGCTGCAAGAGAAGGACCAGAGATACGTGTTCTCAACTGTGGTCAGTATAAAGTATCCTGTCTATGATTTATACAGGATAATAAATTAGGGTTGCATATGTAGGGATGAAAATTACCAGCTGAAAATGGCATTTTAGTTTTTCATCCGAAAGTGAAACATGTCTGAAAATATGAACTGATGAAATAAGACCAGTGGTCACCACACTGAGGTTTCACTTTCCCTTCAGATGTCATTACTCACAAGCAAAGCGCTGTGCTATAAAACCCATTCATTTCAATGGCTTGTGCCGCACAAGGCCAGTCTGTTCCTACTCCAGCCAAAGTTTAATGCTGTGTTCACACCAGACGCGGAACGCGCGGATAAATCACGCTATTCACGCGTAAATAGCCGCGTGAACATTTGAGTTTACTCGCTTCATTCGCGCATCAAACCCCGCTTCATTCGCGTGTCAAATTTACTTCAGAACAGACGCGGATTCGGGTGATGGGCAGGGCTTCTGTCTGCCCGAAGACTCTAGCTTCATAGCTAAATGGCTAACATGGATTTTATGAAGAAAATAAGTGTTTATGTGCTTTATGAAGAATGAAAAACGGGGTTGATACGTTTCGGGTCGTGTCTGAGTCCACTACATCCTTTCAGAGGTGCATTCAGCTCTGTGAGCTCATAAACTCCTCCAGAAACTTAACCTGGATGACAGAGACTTTCAGCGGTGCTTCTGACTGAGCCAAGGCGAGTTTGATGAACTGTTGTCGGTGAAGGCTGGAGGATTTCCCTCGGAACACCGACAACAGGTTCTACGTCACAATCACGCCCCCACAAGAGCAAGCTTCTGATTGGTTAACGCGGCGCGAATGTACGCTGAAGTTCAGATTTTTGAACTCGAGAGATTCGCGCAAAACGCTCGTTAAGCGCGGCAAACGCGCAAAACGCTCAATTCGCCCCGCGCCATTCACGCAATTTGCGTCATTCGTGCCGCGCCTTTCTTGCGTATCGCGCCGCAGGATGTCTATTCGCACGTTTGCATTGACTTAACATGTAAATCACTCACGCTTGACGCGCGTTTTGCGTCTGATGTGAACGCAGCATAAGAGTTGGGGAGCACAACGTTGGCTGGATTTGAACTAGCGTTCAAAATAGATTAATGTTCCACTCTGTGTATATTCTGTTCATGCGCACACATAACTACAGTGCTCAAGATATACGAGTACACCGCTCACAAATGAATATTATCTATGGGAAGCTTTACAATATTATATTTGTGCATATACGTTAGATTAGTCAGTACTGAAGCCAAATCTGGAGCTAATCTAACAAAATAACTTATGATAACGGTCTAAAATTAGAACATCCAAATGTATATATTAGGGATATATATAACTTTTTTTAAAGAGCAAAATTCAAGATAAACAAAAAATTATAAAATTTAGTTGAAATTTTGTAGTTTTTTTTTTTTTTTTTACAATACTTGACATCAATTTGAATTTATTATCTCTCTATTTCTAACGATGTTCAGTGACTCAAATATTATTTTAATTAATAAATCAATTTAATACATTTGTTTTGTTTAAATTCACCAGAACCTATTAACTATAATCACTGAAAAATTAATAAAAATATTCAAAAAGGTGTGTACTCAGTTTTGTTACGCACTGTTGATTTAATAATCACTCAAGTAATTAATAAGTCCACTCAAATAACCGCCATCAGGACATCATTCAATATACTTGTTCCTGCTGCTTGCAGTAGCGGTACTGTGTTGTCATGGCAATTGAATTTTTTATTATTAGCTTGTATGTTTTTTTTTTTTGTAAATTTTTAATATCTTACAAATCACATTATATAATCAAATAAAATAATAAATAATCATTACAAAACCAAGTTTTCAGCCAAGTGTGTCCACATTGTTGTTATTATTATTATTATTATTATATATTTATTATTATTATTATTATTATTATATATTTATTATTATTATTATTATTATTGGTTTCAGCCCGGAATTTTCATTTCAGTGCATTCCTTTAAGAAATAGATCCTCTTAATGCATCCATCTGTGTTCGTTTTTTCCACAGGACAACAAGCCGTCGGTCATTTCTTTGCAGAAGTTGATTGTGCGTGAGGTGGCGCACGAAGAGCGGGCAATGTTCCTCATCTGCGCTTCCTCAAATGAACCCGAGATGTACGAAATCCACACCGCCTCAAAAGAAGACCGCAACACGTGGATCACCCATATCCGTCAGGCGGTGGAGAGGTCTGTGTGCGTCCGGAACAGTAATGATGATATCTGCTGTCTGCAGATCTGTAATGTTCCTTTGTTTCTTTCTGCCAGCTGTCCGCATACTGAAGAGAGATTGTTCAGTGAGGAAGAGGAGGCCAGAGTTGCCCGCGTCCGGGAGTACCAAGGTTAATCACCACATCTAGCTTGTCTGTTTATGTTTTGCTTCTCATTTTTGGTTTGTATGACGGTTGTTTTAGGTGCTTTAAAGAAAACACAAGAGGGCGCAATTGGTTTTCATAAATAATGTTTGTAACTTCAGTTATCAACTTATATATTTATATATATATATTTTTTTCTTTCATTTAACATTTTTTTCAAGTAACAAAACAGTTTGTTAACTATAATAACCCCAAGTAATAATTAAGTCATTTTTAATAATTAATAAAAAATGCAAGTTGCATTTTGTCGTATTGCCACTCAAACTTTTTTAATATTTTATTTATTCAGCAAGTATTTTTTTCATCTATATTTATTTTTTATTTATGCTTAGATTTTATTTTGAATTTTTTATATTATTTTTATGGATCAAGTTGATTAAACTAAAATATATTTTTATTCCAAATAGCTAGTATTTTTTACAATTTATGTATTTATTTATTAGATTTATTAATCAGATTTTCGCTGTTAAACAAACTAAATTAAAAAGCAAAATAACATTTCAAAATGTATTGAAAAATCTAAATAAACCACATTATAACCCAATGTTGTGCAACAGACAGTATATGATGTGCGTAAATATTATATGATGTGCTTTTGTTTTACAAATTAAGCATTTAAACAGGTCAGAATTAAAAAGTTGAGGTTGGCAGCAAGGTGTATTAAGTCAAACAAATAATGATAATGAAAGAAAAGAAACATTTAAAAGAGAAAGAGGAAAGGGAAAATATATTTAACTGAATAGTCTGGGAGGTGGCATGTTCTATGTTTGTGCTATATCAGCATTAGGACTCATCTGGATGGTACAGACTAAGTGTAAGATGGGCAGCCATTCAGTCTACAGTAACTGCTTTAAGTTTCCGAGATTTAACATGGCAACCAAATTTTAGAAAATTTAATCACTGAACCTCGAAGACTATATTTATTATATTATATATATATTTATTATTATTTATTTTTTCTAAAATATTTATTTTAATTTTTTTTTGTAAAACATTTTTCCACAGAGCATAATATTTGAAATGTTATTTTAGTTTTAGTTTACTTATAATAGCCCTTAATATAATAAAGTTTTAATAAATACATTTTGTAAAATATAATTTTTGTAAATTATATTGTCTTTAATATTGTTTAGAATTATTTTCTTGTAGATTATTTTTTATTTAATCATCTTTTCATTCATTTTTCATCAACTTTTTATCAAAAAATCCTGAATGCTCATACATTTATCTTATTTTTCACAAAAATGTGATTTTTTTTTTTACACATTTTAACCCTTTAACTACCCCACCAAGAAACAAAAAAATTGGATTGCATTTCTTAACTCCTAATGTTGCTAGTTAACACACTCAATGCATTTTTTAACACATCCCATAATTTCTAAAATGTCAACCTCTACCAAATGGTTGATATGTCAGTTTATGGTAAAAGTACCAGAATTTATACATATACTATGAACTTTTTATTTTAAAATGTATTCAGAATAAAACATTTTTGAATACTAAATCACCTTTATTTTTTTAAATATGCCATAAAATATTTCAGATTATCAATAAACATGTTTTCTTGTTTTGTTTTTTGTTTTTTGTTTTTTTACAATTAAAACCAAAATCAAGTGTTGTAATGCAATAGGATTGTTTGTTTGACTTTTTTATTTTATTTCTTTTGTAAACCAACATTACTGTGTGTGTAAATCATTATTTTAAACAGTTATTCTTTAAATTACTTTAACAGTCATTATTTAAAACAGTCAAAACATGATTGACTGTTTAGTAGAGCAGGCAGTCAAAGGGTTAAAGTGCTTTTTTGTTTGTAAAGTGCTATAAAGCTTTAATTTGTTTAAAAATAAAAACTACCACCCCCACTGTTTACAATACGTCTGGTTTTCCTCAGAGCGTCTGGCGCTGAAGGATGCTCAGATCACTCAGAGTCTGGCAGAGAAGCTGCAGCTGTTTGCGGAGCTGTCTGAATGTGTGGCCGGTCTGGAGGACTCGGGCTCCCGTTCTCGTCTGCTCCTCCGCGGAGACACGTCTGACCTCCAGCAGGGGGAGACTCTGCTCAAAGCAGCCATCACTGAAGGTATCAGCAGCACATCTCACACACAAACCAGCTTGTCTCATATACATAATGCAGCTAAATGCAGTGAGCGAGTCATATCTCTGTGCCTTTCAATAGTGGAGAACCTGCAGAACCTCCTGACGTCTCGAGTTCGAGGAACATCGGCACAGACTGAAGGAAACCAGAGTCCGTCCTTGAGCTTGCTTCCACGCCGAGCCGACACATTCGGCGGATACGATAGCAATTCTAGTGCACTGCCTAAGAGTAAGAGTCACACCAATAAACATGTTTTACGTTAGGAATGCATCGATTTAAAGGCCACATGAAATTAAAATAATGTTTTTTTAGATGTTAGTATTAGTGTGTTAGTCTAAAGGATATCTAGAAGCTAGTGTGCTCCAAAACGGTGACAAAATTCAAGTTTAGAAGATATAAACATGCAAATATTGCAGTTTGTCACTTTCGCCTAAATGTGTCAATGATTTTTGTGACATCATACTTCAGTCTTCTGACCAATCAAATGCTCACTAGTATCTGACATGCCATGCCCCCTTAAAGATGCATCTTATTTTGATGTGTTTGAGCTCAACCACGCTCACTGGCAGAGCTATGATAAAAACGGAACTCTATTGGCTGTTTTTTGAAAAAGGGGAGGAGCTCTGATATTTCCCGCCCTGTCTTTGTGTTTCAGTTGAGATAATGACAGATGTCTAATTTAAAAAATACACGTCGTCATTATTATTTATTTATTATTATTTTATATATTTGTTGATTTTTTTGTGAATGTAAACATTGTAAGTAAATGTCATGTGTATACTATGTTTATAAAAATGTCTTTAATAAAGACATAGTTAGAATATATATATATATATATATATATATATATATATATATATATATATATATATATATATATATATATATATATATGCGCATTTCAAAGCACTACTAAGACCAAAATACTTGCTTTGTTTTGAATGTATGATTGGCAAGTTTTGCTAATAAGCTGTATTGCATTAATATTATAAAAATTATTTTCTTACTTAGATTTTTTGTCTTGTTTCTAGCAAGAATTTTTAGAAAATTTTGATGAATTTAAAAAAGAAAATGTAGGTAATCTGTAACTAATGCTTAAAGATAATACTACAGAGCACAACAGGGTAGACCCGTTCATAGTGAAGAAATGAAACTCTCTTATATATCCACTTTCTTATGATCAGGGCCAGACGGAATCTGCGGATGTTTTTTGCTATTTCTGCTGTGAATTTTAGTAAAAATCTGTGGATTTTTGCGGAATAATTTTGGGAGTATCATGACTAAAACCTTAATATGTGAAATAAAAAGTATTATCTTTTTAACTTGTATTTAATGTTTAAAATGCAAATCCAATTAGATTCACTTCATTTGGTAAACAAAGAAAGTGTCTTATATAATATCTCTACTAAAAGACAGAAAATATTACTGTAAAAACGGCATTAAACATAAATCATATGAACATTTTCATATTAGTCAATAATATTACTGTAATAATAAAAAACTAAACAAATATAGATTTACACACATTTACTCAAATAAATAAACTGAATTAATGATGAGCTAAAAATCTGCAGAATTCTGCGTGCACAGATTCCGTGTGGGCCTACTTATGATCGTCGTTTATTTTGGCTAACATTTTTTCATTTGACACATTATCAATCATAATTTTCATCCATAATTTAAGTGTAGGGCATTGAATTTATTTCCAAAATCTCAGTATTATACATGCTGCTGTAGTTATACCAACAGTTATAAGATGAGTAATAACTTACCTTTCGTAGTATGTGGAAACCTCTGTTTTATCACCTAAAAGACATATCCTTGGCGAGAGAGGAATATTAATAAGCATTTTTTAGACAAGCAAAAAATAAAAAAATAATATGCCAAAATGAAGTGAGTTTTTCCTTAAAACAAGCTAAATAATCTGCCAATGTGATAAGCAAAATAATCTTGTTTTTCCTTTGGGCATAAGATTGTTTTGCTCACCCCACTGGCAGATCATTTAGCTTGTTTTAAGGAAAATTTCACTTCATTTTGACACATTATTTCTTGCTTGTTTAGAAAATGCTTCTTGATTTTGAAACTTTTTGGATATTTGCACTAGAAACAAGACCAAAAAATGAAGTAAGAAAAGCTTTTTTTTTCTTTCAAATCCACTGCATTGCGCTGTTTGTTCATTAGATGTGGAGATCAAAGCACGTTTATGGATCTGTCAAGTTTCTTTTTGGTTTCCAGTCTTAGTCATTTTTCAGTCTTATTTTCATTGGCAAAATCAACACTGATCTAAAGCTACAGTAGTATAAACATTTCTCCTACTATCTAGCATACATCAGCTGCATCATTCAGAAAATGCATTTGTTGATTTGTTGAAATCCTTTTTTATTAATAATCAGATAGAAGAATCGCTAGATTTGCAGATTTGCTAAATTAAACCCAAAATTTGTTTCATTTTATACTATTTTTGTGGCAATAATTTCGAAAATTGTGTAAAAAGGAGGCTTTTTATATGTGAATGTAGTTGATCAGGTGAACAAGTCTTTGTAGTGATTGTTAAGTGTGTGTTTTTGTGTGAAATCAGACGGCAGCATTAAGAAGAAGGGTCCCGGAGCAGGAGGCAGGACGAGAGACAGGAGTCAACGGGCCAGTTCTGACCCACAGCTCAAAGAGGTGTTCACCTGTCAGGACCACGATGAGCTGGTGAGACGCACAGCATGTCTGTCATTCTTGCAGGAGTTTTTTGGTCAGATGTTGTCTACAAAGTCTAGATATTACTTTAAAGATGTTTTATGAATGAATGTATTTGTGTATATATCAATTGCTAATGTAGATGTTCGGTAGAAAATGTTCCTAAGAGGTTCTTTTCTGTGTATGTGTCGCATATACTGTATGCGGTTGTGTGTTTTAGGCCTGCTTGTTGTGGTTTCTAACATTTACAGAATGCAGTATTATGCAAAGACTATGGAGTCAATCTAGGGCAATATACACTAGCAGCATAAAAGAAAGTTTTGCTAACAAAAAAATAAAGTATTGAGCAAAAATTGTAAAATAATGCAAATCTCAAAAAATTGCAAAGGGAAAATTTAGTTTAGAGAAACAAAAAGGAATTTTGCTGACAAAAAAAGTCTGCAAATACAAATCAAGTAATGCAAAAAAATTATATTTGGAATTTGTTAAAAATATTAATAAATTTGCTAAATATTTTTTTTTTTCAATGCTGTTTTCGTTTTGCACTTCACATTTCTGTTCGTTTCACTTTCTGGCCCTGATTTCATAAGGGGGCGGAGTCACTGGACATGCCGCCTATAAAGCACATCATCAGCTGGTGACATCCTGGCACAAAGGAAATTAGCCTTAATTGAATCGCTGTTATAAATCTAATCGAGATTACGTAAAATACCTGAATCCTTTGTTTTTTGGAGGAATGTTTAAATCGTCAAATTGTAAAACTCGCAAATCCAAATGAGCGTTGCTATTGACTTGAGAGGTTTTGTAAAGACAATACTGGAAAAATATTTAGCAAATAAAAGAATTTTTTTTTTAAATGTCCAGATACAGATTTATTTTTTGCACTACTTGATTTTTATTTGCTGTTCTTTATTTTTGTTTGCAAAATTCCTTTTCATTTCTCAAAACTCAATTTTCCCTTTGCGTTTTTTTTTTTTTAGATTTGCGTTATTTTACAATTTTTTGCTCAATACTTTTATTTTATGTTGCAAGTATATGTAGCCCTAGATTGACTTCATGACTAAGTCCCCATATGAAAATCACATATATTTACAAATGCACCATAAGTTCATGTTTGGATTTCACTAATATTAAGAAAAATCTCATACATGTACATTTATTCAGTATATAAATAACTTAATATTTAAAAAATGAAAGTTTACTTATTTTTTTTATTAGTAGAATTACAAATATGCACATATATGTTTATATCTATTAACTATAATTTGATACACAGTATGTGTTTACAACTTAAATATTTATTGGGCAAGTATGATTATACTAATTATTATTTGAATTTTCAAAGCATATATATTGATTTTATTTTTACTTTACTTTTCATATTTGAACATAGTTGAATGTTAACATTAGAAGTTTGATTGAGTCATTTGAATAAAATATTAAATATAATAATGATTAACACTACAATATTGTAATGCACTCCTGGTCTGAAATAATGTCTAAGAATCATCATTTAATTAAGTTTTTTTCTTAAAACAAGCTAAATAATCTGCCAACAGGGTAAGCAAAATAATCCTGTTTTCCTTTTGACCTGAGATTATTTTGCTTACCCCATTGGCACATTATGTAGCTTGTTTTACGGAAAAACCCACTTAATTTTGGCATATTACTTCTTTAAAAAAAAAAGATATTATTTTAATTGTCTAGAAAATGCTTCTTGATTTAAGTATTTTTTTTAGAAATTTTGATAAGACAAAAAATCCAAGTAAGAAAAGCATTTTTTGAAGTTTATACACAATAATATGTTTTTCTTTTATTTTATGGTGTCTGTCTCTTCAGGACGAGGCTTCCTCACCTGCCAGCACCAACATGTGGTCCTCGTGTAAACTTCCTGAATCAGAGGTGAGAGCGAGCGTTCATCATCATGCAGAAATTAAGACGATTATGCCTCTCTCTGTTTCTCATGAGAGATCAAAGACACATATTCTTTCTCACACGCCTCCCCATAAGTATTTGAGAAGCTGACCTTTGCATTCACCGCACCTAATCGCCAGCTAAGGCGAGACTCCACAGGCTGAAACTGTTTATTTTTTTCATTTACCTGTCGATTTTGAGATTTCAGGCTTTTTGGCTTCTCATGAAGTGTTTTTTTTTTTTTCAAGTCTAATGGAAGGAAAACATACCAAATACACTATTAAGTGTTTATTTTGTTGGACTTTATTTATTAGCGTCTGTAGATTTTAATTACAACACACATTTTTAAAGGTTGCTTTCTCAAGATGTGTTTTTTTTTTCCTCCTTCACTGAGCCATAAATCTCCACTTCAGCATCAATTATATAAATCAAACTTTACCGTTTTATTCATATCTGTATTTGGAAAGTTCTTACAGAGGGATTTGATTGTTTATTATTTGCCTGATTTTATAAATAACACTTAATGCTTTTTGATTACAGTTTGCAATCATCTCTGGTTTACATAGTGATAAAGTGATATTGAAGTCACCTCTGTACAGAACCTCTGGAATTTCATGAATCTGTGATCGCTGAATTCAACACAAACTCATTAGTGCATTAGCCTGGCTAAAACAAGACTTGTACATGACCTTTCTTAAAGATGAGTCTTTACCTAAAAGATATCATTATTAAAAAAGCCCAAACTTAAAGGGAAAGGTGGAGGCGTTGCCATAATATATAGTAATATTTTAGTATCCCTTTGCAGTCTGGCTTTAAATACAAATCTAATCAAATTACTTTTGTTGTCACATCATCAGCAGCATGTGTGCTATGATGAGTGAAAAGCTTTGGTGCTGGCTCCAGACAGTGCAAAATACTACAACAACATACTTCCAAAAAAGCAGGATAATGTGAAATTGTAAAATAATGTTGACAGCGATATGTACAATGAATAGGTGTACACATAGTTGTAGGCAGTATTGTTTTTAGTACGAATTGGTTAAAGTGCAGTGCATGCTACATATTGATGGTGTGCAGTGAGGGGTATGGAAGAGTTTATGTGGGGTGTTAAGCGTTCATCAGCCTGATAGTCTGAGGGAAGAAACGTTCCTTCAGTCGGCTGGTGCATGATCGGATGCTGCAGAACCGTGTGCCTGAGGGTAGCAGAGAGAAAAGTCTATGGCTTAGGTGGCTGGAGTTGCTGATGATTCTCTCGGTTTTCTCATGCACCACCTGGTGTAAATGTCCTGGAGGGAAGCTCACCTCCTATTACGTGTCCAGCAGTTCACACAATCCTATGTAGGCCTTTGCGATTGCTGCTGGTGCTGTTTCCATACCAAGTGGTGATACAGCCAGTCAGGTTGCTCTCCACAGTGCAGTTATCAGACATACAATTTGTTTAAAGTAGTAGTGCTGTATGTTCCAGTGTACAATGTAAACAGAAAGAATAAAATAGGTGAAGTTCAGTTTTTTTTTTTTAATGCCGCAGATTTTTCCTGCATGTTTTGGGCAGTCTGGACACTGTTCAAATTTACTCCCCAGAGCGCCATCTGCATAGTTTTACATACTATCCGTGAATAGAATGTGCTTTACTGGTGTCTCTCTCACACACACATAGATGTGCACATAAACGCGCATGATCTGCATAACTTTCATCATTGTTCAAATAGCCGACTTAGCTTTTATTCTCAAACAATTGGTTTTGTTTTCAAATATGATACAGCAAAATGTAGGGGTGAACTCTAGCTGCTCTGTTTTTCTCTCTATGTTTCCTTTATATATATATATATATATATAAAGGAACGATTAATCCCATGATCCAAGATATAGGTTAGTGTTTACATGATATGTACATGTGTACAATGCATTTATCAAACATACTGTACATTTAAATACAAAAATATTAGAAAGTATATATACTCACACACACACACACATATGAATATCAATGAACATAAATATTTTATACAACATAGTCTCATGTATATATATACACAGAAAAACACATTACGCACACATTTGTTTTGTTGATATAAACTTTTACTGCATTGCAATTAATCATTTTGCAGCACTAGTAAATAAGTGTATATTTTCACTGCAAAACAATAAAAGAAATGCTAAAGATCTGCCACAATAGCGTGCACAAAGTCGTTATTCAGTAGCAAAAATCTTATCAAATCCTGGAGAGACTGTATGCATCACATTTACTTTAATGTGTACACAAGAATTTCCTGCCTTCATCCAATGTTTCGATTTGTGTGCAAGAAATGTGTAAATTAGCACTTATTTAAATTAAATGATGGCTTATTTGCATATTTTAACTTTTGTATTCCAATACAACAAAGTATGCAATTCCTGTAATCAACTGACAGTGAAAAGTCTGGTGATTGTTAATGGCGAGTATCATAAACCTGTTCACCTGCAGTGCCCTGGCAGGAATGTGGTGTTTCGTCAGGTGAATGAATATTAAATCATGCTGCCAGTAATGTTGTCCTCTTCTTTCTGTTTTTCCAGTTGTATGAGCGTGTGCTGCTGCTTTCCCAGAGACTCTACAGTTTACAGGTACAACATGCTGACCACACTGACACCTCGCACTCATCACATGTCCGCATGACATCACGTTCACGGGAGTTATTCTATTGTGCAGGCCATTTACATGTGGTGATGTCTAACTGCTGTAATATTGAAGATGACATCTGGCTTTCTTACCATTGGTTATTCTGGTGTTTTCATTCTATAGTAGTTTCAAGGGACAATATTTAAGATTTTTGTATCTAAATATCCAAAAACCATTAGGACAGTGTTATATATTTTGCTGACTTTTGCGTTTCCAGTATCACAAATGTTTTAAAAAATGAGACGGATACAATTTTAACTAAAAACACAGATTGTGTGCCGTGTGTTTGTACTAATGATGTTACACACTCTTGATTTTCTGTTTTAATTTATATAAAACCTGGAAACACATAAGATGATTTAATACGCTGTGTGTTTTGTTAGATTTAGCAGCATTATAACAGATGTCTAAAATGTATTTTGTTTGATAAAATAACTCTGCTTCTTCTTCTTCTATGCTGCGTCCTTGTTCCCATACCATCTGTCCCAAATAGTATTTGAAAATACAATTGGTATGTCCCAAATCATAGTATGTTAAAAAAAGGTATGCCATTCCGGATGGTTTACTAAGTGTAGATCCGTCCATACTCTAATCACTGATATTGCCCACAATACATTTCGATGTGATTTGGATTAGAACTACAAACACGGATTAAAAGTGCAAATAAACTACAAACATGGTGTGTGCGTGAGACCAATCATCAAAGAGAGGCTTCGGTAAAGATGTTTGTGTGACTGTTAATTAATATCTTGCCAACTGGAACACATTTAAATTGCGCTTTCCGTGTTATATTTCATCTGTAACAAAAACTTTTATATAAAGATGTATCTGGATGCATATGTCTGAATGCATGATTATCCAAAGACCTGAGGACATTTCTCTGCATGAAAGACTCATGAATTCCAAATTATATTGCTGATGCTTCTCCAATATGGTAGGAAATTAAATATGAAAGAAATGTGGAGGATTGACAGGGAGACTAAGTAACATAACGAGCTGTTAACGAGGAAGTAGTATGTGCCAAAGCTTGCATATTCTTCTGTAACACACTCAAAAGTAGTTACTTTTCCCTCACAAACAAAGTACGTACTTTTAGGGCATAGTGTAAGTATGCGAATCGGGATGCTGCAGTAGTGTTCACGAGAGGAAGAACTGGAAGTTGTGGCATAATAATAGCTCCGCTGCTTCTGTGCATACACTCCTTCTAGCGCAGGGGTGTCAAACTCAATTCCTGGAGGGCCGAAGCCCTGCACAGTTTAGTTCCAACCCTGCTCCAACACACTTACCTGTAGGTTTCAAACAAGCCTGAAGGACTCAATTAGTTTGATCAGGTGTGTTTAATTAGGGTTGGAACTAAACTGTGCAGAGCTGCGGCCCTTTTGGAACTGAGTTTGACACCTGTGTTCTAGCGGCTTAATATACATATTGTGCCTTTCAGTCTTTCTTATTTGTTAATGCTGGTCTTTTGTTTAATTGTTTGGAAATTGTTTTACTTTTGTTGTTATTGTTTGTCTTATTTCATGATCTTTTGTTGTTTTTTGTTATCATTTGATTAGCTTTTATTATTTTTTGTTCTCTGTGTTGTTTGTTTTTCAATCCTTTTGTTTTGTTATTGTCGTATTTTTCTTTTTGTTTCTTAATTGTTTTGTTTGTTCTTTGTGTTTTTTGTTCATATTTTTGCTGTTTGCTTCTTTTCGGTTTTCGATTTTGTTTTGTTTGTTCTTAAGAGTTTGTTTTTTCATGTTTGGCTTGTTTTCTTTTAATGCTTTCTTTTGTCTGCATTTGTTTTCTTATCTTTTTTTTGCTCTTTTTTTTTCCCTTTGATTTTTTTTTTTTTATGTTCTTCATTTGTTTGACTCTTTTATATTTATTTCCTTTTTCTTTCACGTTCTGTTTACATGTCATTAAATTTACATTCCTCCCAGACACTTCCCTACCAAACAGCCTTACAGTACACTCCGCAAATGACATTTAAGCAAACACAAGCCAGCTGAAAGCACACAATTCTAAGCTTTAGTTACCAGGAAGCACAACTGTCCAAACATCACGTCTTTTCTCTCTACTTCCCCCATCAGGCCATAATCTCCCAGCAAGACAGCCACATTGAGCTCCAGCGGGCCTCGATCCTCACAGCTGAGCGGGAGCGTCCTGGCAGCCGAACCCGTGGCACCGACGTGCTCCTGGAACAGGAAAAGCAGCGCAACCTGGAGAAGCACCGCGAGGAGCTGGCCAACTTCCAGCGGCTGCAGAGCCAGCATCGACAGGAGCAGGCGCGCTGGGAGCGGGAACGCGAAAAACAGCGGCGGCTGGCAGAAGCAGACCAGCAGAGGCTGAAGGAGAGAGAGGAGGAGTGCAGAAGGCTGGAGACACGTCTGGCAGAGGAGAGACTGGAGCTGGAGAGACAGAGACAGACCTACCAGCAGGACCTGGAGAGGCTAAGAGAGTCCACACGTGCCGTGGAGAAGGAGAAAGAGCGTCTGGAGCAGCAGAGGAAGCTGAAGAAGCACAACACTGTGCCCAATACTGCAGCACTGTACACACAGGAGCTCACACAGGTCAGTTCAGTCAATTGAAACACTAAGGCCATTATCACACCAGACGTGCTTTTTGCATTGAGAGGGTGCATCTTTTGAAGGGTTTTCTTATGGCCTGAGAGTTTTGCACACTGCTTATGCGCCTTGCACATGTCGCGTTTGAACTGCCTGCTGCGTCTCACAGTTTTGCCGTTGCGCTCTGTGTGCCCGCAGTAGAAAAAAAGTCAGCTCTGAGTAGAAAAAGGGTGTTACGTCAGTTGTGTCTTTTTCATTCTCCAATCAGATGACAGCAGAGGTAGGGTTTCCGTTAAGGTGTTTTTGTTGTCAAGATAACTACGGAGGCTTTTAAAGATGGAGGAGAAACTAGTGGTTGCTGTGATCTAGTGGTTGCTGTTACTACTGGTATAGTTATCCAAAGATGTATGACTTCACAAATCTTGAATATCACAATATTATTTAATATTACAACTACAGCAATATCAACAGCAATGCTCACGCACAATACGCAGCTGATTTAGTCTGGCCTAGCGACATAAATGCATTCTTACAATGGAAAATTGCACTCGGTGTGATCGGCCCCTGATGGCCCTTTTTTTAGCTACTAGTATCAGTCTTAAGAGATCCACAGAAATGAAAACTCTGGGGTGAAACTATAATTCTCGATGCACTCGACTGAAAACCAAATCCAAAAATGCTCAAATAATTTTTTTTATTAAGTAATATAAAGTATTTTCGAAAACTTTGTTTTATTTAATAACTTGAATTACATTGATTAAAAAAAAAACAAGCCAGACAGTAATACTTTATGACCAGCTTTGCCATGACAGCACAGTGCACTACTGTGCGATGCTGATAAAATTGTTAAATATTGCAAGCAACAGGAACAATAAACGGCCAATAGTGCGCCAACAGGACGTTTGTTTGAGTGGAGTTTGCTACAGAACGGAATATTGAACTATTCTGAACATTTGAGCCATGGCACACTCACATAGTAGTAGACGGTGTGCTCTGCTGCTCTTGCTTTTTGGTCAGTGTGGCACAAACCATTGAAATTAAATGGTTTCATAGCACAGTGCTTTTTGTGTCAGGTGTGAATGTCACTTCATACTGCATACTAGAGCTGCACAATTAATCGTAAAAAGATCGCGATCTCGATTCGACCTCCTAGACAATCTTTATCCAACATTTCTACGATTCTGTCAATCATATTTTTAAGTTCAGGAGAGAAGCAATGGTGGCCGCACAAGTCTTCACATTGTTTTACATATGTTGTTCAGCAACGTGGACACCTCCAAATGGTGTTGAAAGAGTCACATGCTGTATTTATAAGATATAATTTACCCCAAAAATGTAATTTCTGTCGAATGACCGTTAGCTGTTATCACAGAGGGGGCGGGCGCGTGTACTGAATGAAGTCTACTTTAGTGAACAGAACCTGTGTATGTTGTGAATAACAGCTAATAAAGTTGTAAATAACATTCAGTTTGTGGCACAGAGTGATCGTTTGGGAGCCGCGCGGGAAGTGAACCGCTCTTAGCCATAAAAATGAAACTGAAAGCGTGTACAGTGTTGCAAGATGTAGCTGACTCATTTCAGCTCAAAAAGTATCCAAAACCAGCCGAAATGCAAAAATACCCACCCTGTATTCACGAAAATCACATCAGTGACAGATTTAAGCAGAAAATTACAGATTGTAAGCATATGTCTCAAACAATAATTCAACATCAGAATTATCATCAGCATTAATGACCAGGACAGATCTAAAGTCTGTTCAAGTCCACCATTCCAGGTCTTTACAAAATTGAGCATTTTAATCATTTGAATCGTGAGAAAATCGTGATCTTTATTTTACGCAAAAGAATTGAGATTCTCATTTTAGCCAGAATCGTACAGCTCTACTGCATACTAGTCTAATTCATTTCATTCTTTTGGCTGTTATTGTCTTATCATCTGAAAATGGAAAATGCAAAAAATTAAGTGGCTCATAGTCATAAGGTTATCTATATGCTAGCGTACTCCAAAACATTGATAAAATTCACATTTAGAAAATGTAAGCATTCAAAACGAGCAATTTCTCACTTCCACCAATAAAGATTAACGATTTCTATGATGTCATCTCATACTTCAATTTCTTATCAAATCTTCTGACCAATCAAATCATTGCTGTTCTCTGAAGTCCCACCTACAACAAAACACTAAAGCTGCAGCTGAATTCTGTCCCTCATTCACTTATTATTCGCTTGTTACATTCACTTATTAAAAGATTGTGCATTACGAAGTGTCCTTCACACAGGTGAGTGGGTTTAACAAACCACCTGTAGCAACTTTCTCTTTCTCTAAAACTTACTGTAGCTAAATTCTCTAAGCACAAACAGTTCCTTTGTATGACTAGCACTTCTTTTGTGTATTGCCGCTCCTGTTGAATCACTGATGTCTTCTCAATTGTAAGTCACTTTGGACAAAAGCATCGGCTAAATGACTACATGTAATCTATTATGTAACAGAGTGTTCACACTGAGGGTTTACTTAAACTCTTGTAAAGTCAATAACCGAGATATTAAAATGCTGTGGACATAAACACTCAGATCTACAGCAAGTACTAACACACAAAATAAGTAACACTAACAAATAATGTTTACAACTATTTAACAAATAGAATATTTATCTTAATGTTTGTTTTTACTGTGAAGTCTAAAATTAGAATCGCAATCAGTTATCAGCAAATAAAACTATATAACTTGTATACTTGACTAGCTATATGACTATTTTTAAAATAGCTCATTCAAATTAGTGTTATTTCACCAATATAACAGCATATTTGCTCAGCAATAAAGATTATCTTTCAACATTACATGTGACCCTGAACCACAAAGCCTGTTATTAATGTCAGTTGTTTTGAAAATTGAGACTTATACATTCCCTGAAAGCTAAATCAATAAGTTTTCCATTGATGTGTGATTTGTTAGGATAATATTTGTCCGGCTGTTTGAAAATCTGTGATCTGAGGGTTAAAAAAAGATCAAAATATGGAGGAAACCACAAAGTTGTCCAAAATTAATTCTTAGTTTCAATATTACTAAACAAAATGGAAGTTTTTATATATTTATAGTAGGAAATTTACAAAATATCTTCACGGATATAATTACTTTTACTTAATATTTGAATGATTTTGGCCTGTTTTTTTATGTAAGCTTTGAAATCAGCTTTCATAGTGCAGGAAAATTATCTTATTATCATCTGTGTATGCAAAAACGAACGTTATCGGATCATTTTCTTGCGTTTTGAATCCTGCTTGCCTTTTCATATTAGCGAACAGCCAAAACGAATAACAAGCATGAAAGTCTATCTTAAGTCTATTATGAATATTTGATGCATCACTCAAGCTATTTGCGATAATAGGAACTGTCACGCATAAATTTAGCATGATGTCACCCCTCCGCTCTTTCTGTGTCACATGTTATTATAATCTGAAGTCATAGGTGTGCCATCTGAGAGCATCTGCCTTTCCCACGCTCCTTTTCAGCTGCGCTCGACCAACACAATCACAGGGAACAATGTGCCACTGTGAGCTTACACAGCAGTGGCTTTGCTGAGCTGCCTGCCACCCGTCCTACCTGTTTACCGATGAGCCAGCTAGATTACCCAGGTACCTCTCTCTGGGAAAGAAAAAAGAAGTGTTGTTTGAACAGCCTTAAAGGGATGGTTCAACCGAAAATTAACATTTAATCATCATTTACTCACTCTTAAATGACTCCAAACCTTTGTGTTTTCATTTTGTTGATCACACATTAAGATATTTTGAAGATTGTTGGAAACTGAGCGCTATTAGCTATGTTTCAATCCAAAGATGCTTATTGGATTGTTGCGCAAAACTGGAATCTTGGCGAATAATGCACAAGAAAGTTCTGGAGGTAATATTAATATAAAACGTAACCACTTTGGAACCAAAACAACATTTCAGATGTTTTACAATGTGTTCAGTACATTGGTTTGTCCATTGCACTCATTTTTATCACATGATCCGCTAAAACAAATTACATGACTTTTTTTGATGCATATGCCTGAATTTAATTTGGTAAATGTGCTTTCATCTTAGTTTATGCACGTTTTTTCTAATCGGATAAAAAATGTGTCCTACTAGTTGTGCGCAAGTTTTTTTTATGCACATTTTCTATATTTATACACATCTTGAAGTTTCTATTATGTATTTATTGGGATGGAAACATAGCTAATGGGAAAAACTAATATGAAAGTAAATCTCTAGACAATGGACATCCAGTGTTCTCCAGTCTCCGGTGCCTAGACTGCAGCTCTGCACAGAAAGTTTGGCCAGACTAGAAATGGTTGTGCCCAACTGAGGTTGGTTTCTCTCAAGGTTTTTTTTTTCTCACTTCCGTCAATTGGTGAAGTTTTGTTGCTCGCCTCGAGCTTGCTTTGTTTTGGGACTTGTAGAGCTGTGCATCGATGGATTTGCTCTTCAGTGTTTAAACTTTCAGGAGTGAAAACAAACCATACCGAACTGAACTAAACTGAACTCCGAAAACTGGACTGACACAGTTTCAGTTTACTAGAACTTCTATGTTAAGCTGCTTTAACGCAATCTACATTGTAAAAGCACTTTAGAAATAAACATGAAGTGAATTGAATTGAATTAAATGGCTACTATTTTTCATCATTATTTAAAATATCTTCTCGTGTGTTCAACAGACGTAAGAAACTCAGATAGGTTTAAACAATTGGAGGCTAAATAAATGATGGCAGAAGTTTTGTTTTTGACTGAACCTTCCCTTTAACAGATTTTGAACAGAGAAAAGCCAGTCTCTGTGTAAACAAGCCTCAACAAAAGAACGATTTCCAGGATTTAGCAGTGCTAAAACTGCCCCATACATCACAAACCCATCAGAAAATGAAAAAAGGGCTGCATTTGTGTTCAGCTGCACACATATTGGCTGGCATCTGAATGTATTCCATGATTTCCCTCAATCACGTTAAACTGATTTTGATTAGAAAGAGCATGTATG